GAGGGGGTGGAGTGTTGTGGTGGGGGAAAAAAGTTTTCCCCCTAGAGTTATAAAATGGTAACCCCCCAGGGGGTGGTGTCTCCCTTGGGGTTGAGCCAACCAGCGCTCCTGCAAAATGTAAACATATCACCCAGACCGGAAAAGAAAGGTAGTTGTAGTGGTAGTTGGAGAGGTGGCCATGTTCTGAGCCACGAGGAGAAGGGGCAGGAGTTAGACTGGGCTAAGTATCTGTAGCTAAGAGCTGGGAGTTTTTCTCCACCGTGAGCAGCAGCAGGAGCAGCGGCAAAAACAGCACTGACCAGAGACTGTGGCTGAAAGCCAAGAGATAAGGGAGAAGCAGCAGAGATGGCATGTAGCCAAGGAAGACACAGAGAAATGTCTGATGGAAACAGAGCAGGACTAAGCTCTACAGAGAGAGAGAGAGTTTGGGTAAGAACTGAAACAAACTCCCCAAACCCCTCTGAGACCTCCTAGAGAGGAGGAGGATGATGGACTCTTACCTGAGAAGAGTCTTAGAGTTCTACAGCACCGAAAAGAGAGGAGTTGAGAAGCTCAGGGCTTCCCGGAGCTGGACCAGGACGACTGAAGGAATCCGAAGGAGGGCTTCGCCCCCTTCGCTGCTGCTGCCAAACAACAGCCTGAGACAGAGCACAGGAGCTCTGATAGAACTCTTGAGGCAAAGGCCTTCAACTGAAAGCTGCCCAAGACGTTCTGACTCAGGGGTGAATCCCCTGAGGAAGGGACCTTCATGGGATGTCTTACATCCCATGATATGACAAGGTGAGGCGAACCTTGTCCCTGCTATGCAGTTCATGGAAGAGAAAGACCCTCGCTTGGAGTCGAAGGGCCGAGAGGGGCTTGGAGACCCCCCTCGTGTGTGCTGGCAGAGATCCAGCTACAGCTACTGCATGGAAGAAGAGAGCCTGCTGCCCTAGAGACACTGCTGCTCTGAGAGTGGAAAGGATCTCTTCCTTCTTCCCTCCTGGACTTTTATTTGGAGGAAGAAGAGATTTGATCCATTGTTAATACTGCTTTATCATGGTAGAGATAGTTGAGATTGTGTGTGTAATGTATTATAATATTTATCTGTACAGTCATTGTAATATAATCCCTTACTCCCATTTTGAGTCTTGTGTGGTGTCTGGAAAACCCATCTCACACTGGGCTGAGATGTGGGAGGGGGGTTGGACTCGAGAACTGGATTTTTGGGGCTCTCAAACCATTACAATTTTCTTGTATAAACTATATTTAATTGGTATTCTGTGATTGGCTAATCGTTCTCCAAGGTCACTTGAAGGAGAGATTGAGGAGGAGGAGGATGAAGTAAACCCACCAACTCAATTAAGAAAGACCCCCCCAGGTGCAGTACGCAGGCGCAGGGAAAGCCACACGTGCGCAGAAGAGATATTACTTGCATAATCGGGAGGTGGGACTGAGGGCCTCTGGCTGGGCGGTGCTGGCCACACCTGGCTAGGTTGAGGTCACTCAGTTAATTGTATAAAAAGCAGATAGCTCTTCTTTGGAAAGTAGCTAGCTTCACATCAAGGCCAATGTTGCCTTTGGCAGGAACGCCTGCCAATTTGTGAACTTACTGACTCTCCAAGGATGCAGCTTCTGCTATGGGTAATTATAGGCATTCTAGGTCAGTAAGATAACTTTATAGGCAACAGCTGGGTGCCTGGGGAGGTCGTACTGGGGGCTTATTTCTCTCCTCCTTCCTCCCTTTTGGGTTTGTTCGTTTTGTTGACCACCTCTTGGTAATAAATATCAGTTTTGTTGAGCTTGCAATGGGGTCATGGTTTCAGATTCAGTATGGTCCAAACCCCTCCCTAATACAACTATAGCAGTTTGAATTTGTCTTTTCTGAAATATGGTGACCATAATTGTTTGCTGTCTGTTGCGACTAGAAATGCTTTTCTTGATACATCCATCCTTAAATTATATTTAATTTATTCTTGGCTTTAACCAAGTGAGAGCTACAACATATGAGAAAAATACTTTTTGTTAGTCTTGCACTAATTAGATTTAAAATTTTTGTTTCTGTTACTCCAGTCCTCAGGATCACCTACTTTCTTATGAAAGATATTATCAGTGTTTGTAATGCATCCAAAGTTGATGTCATTTTAGTAAATTTCAGTAGTAGGCTTCTGCTTCTAGGGGAAAAGACATTGATGAAACACTCCCTCAACTGACCCTAGAGATATTTCATTAGAATACCAAAAACACGGAATGGTTTGGGTTGGAAGGGGCCTTAAAGGTCATCTAGTTCCAACCTCACTGCCACGGGTAGGAACACTTTCTGCTAGACCAGGTTGCTCAAAACCCCATCAAACTTGGCCTTGAGCACTTCCAGGGATGGGGTATTAGCATTAGCAGTCTTATATGGAGTTTTGGGTAGCTGAAATTCAGTAAAAATGGTGATCATTTTTTTCAGCAACATTAACTTTTACTAGTTAGCCATGATTTAGCTTCCTCCCTCCCCTCAAGCTGAAGCAACATCTTCCTCAGGTGTATGTACCCAAAATGAATTGCAGTACTTGGCTAAGAGGACAGGGAGGTTGGACATATCCTTTTCTGAGTTGTCAGACTGCCTCATCCTAAAGAATGGCATTTAAGGAACTGATACAGATCAGAAACGTATCCTTTTTTTCTTTTTTTTGCATTAGGTGTATACACTATATATTTTAGTATGAAAATAAACTCTTAGATTAATTTCAACTCAAAATTAACTGATTAACTATCTATTTTAATTTAAGGCTCAGGAGACATGAACAATATTTCCAAAGTGAGTATCTAGTAAAGTATTTGGAATTTTTAGAATAGTATTTCACTCTCAACATATTTTCATGTTCTCTATTAAGTTTTTTATTATGTCTCTAGATTTCCTGCTTGTCAGCTCTTTGGAGACTGTGCAGACAGAATAAGTATTAATTGAAAGTTTAAAAACAATATCTATAATTAATAGGGAGTATAAGTAGACTTAATGTGTATTAATGAATGTGATTAACATAATCTGTTTGATCAGGTTGTAATTTTCCACACTGTGAAGAGAAATAAATATAGTACTAATAATCAATTCTAGTTGGATGCAAATTTTGGGAAATGTCATTAGGATGTTACTTTTATGCACTGTGTGATTCCTTTTGCCACCACTGTAAGGCAACATTAATAAATAAATCACTAGTCTAAGTCCCTAAAAGGTGGATTAAAACATAGTTGAAAAACCCCCACTGTTTTGATACAACTGTTAAACAAACATTAAATACTAAACACAACTATAAAATAGTATATGCAAAATGAATGTGAGTTTAACCTGTAGGGGTTTTGCAGATACAAAAATAATACTGTGCTTGAATGTGTCACTGCTTCCACAAAAATAAAAATCTGCTACATCTATAATAATTATTAATTAATTGTTACATTATAATTACAATTATTAATAATTATTAATTTAGGGACTTATTCAAATAAAGAATTAATGAGCTTATTCAGTGTTGATAAAGTGACAGAAATTTGTCTTTGTAAAATACTGTGTTTTGTACTCAACATCTTCAGATGTATCTAACTAAAACTAATAAAAAATATCACTAAAACTGTCTCCCTGTATTTTTGTACTTTTGATCTATAAATATGGAATTGATTAAGGGATTGTTTCAGTTAAAATTTTATAACTCATTCATTTGAAATTACTGTTACAATTTTCTTATCGATTGTAGGGATAGGTACAATTTCGGAAGAATTTGTGACAGAAAGCTAGAACCGATTTTACTTGGGAAGACTGTAAAATGCCTTCTCAAATGGGTTAGATGTTTTTTTTCTTCCTTCTGCATTTCAGAGAAAGTTTCAGGGAAAAACTGTGAGCAAACTGTGTCTCTCTGGTATGCAGAGAGATAACATGTTTGCAGACATGTACAAGGCCTCCTCAGGCCAGGGGGGGGGGGGGGAGGAGAGAGAGAAGATACAAAAAGCTTTGGAGAAGGCAGGGCATTGTCTTTTTTCCCTGGAGCCCAGTGTGTGCAGCATCGTGAAGAAGTGGACCTTGCATCTGAAATAAACCTTTTTTTATTCCTTCCACTGCCTTGGCATTCTTGAGAAGAAAACCTGTGTATGTTTTACCTTACATTGATCTTGAAAAAAAAGGAATGAGATTTTAAGTGAATTATTGCCTACAACTTTTGGTTGACCCAGGACTAAGTGCTAAAGTGCTGTTGCTAGATGTCTCAGTACAGACTTTGCCACTTTTGAATCTGGCTAAGGCTTGTCTGCACATGTTCTGGTCAGGATATCACTGTAGATGCTCTCTCAGGCTATCACTGACATATGATGAGATACAAACATGTCAAAAAGGGAAGAAAATATTGACCTTAATTTCTGTGGATTAAAACAGAAGTTTGTAGTATAAATTTATTTAAAATACATTTTCAAATATTCAAAAAATAGGAAGCATTCTTCAATTAGTGATACATTCCTTTCAAAATTACATAGGTGATTATAGCCTCAGAATAACCTTCCATGACCTTTCATGGAAAGTAGGACCACAGCAGTATGCCCCTTGCACCATTTTGAGCCTATGAGGGAAAAACATCTATAGCAAGGCTACATTTTTGTATCATGTTCAGGCCCGGTGAAAATGTTGTGGTTTGACCAACTTTTTCCCCCTGGAGCTGGAAGATGGCTAGTTGCAGGGGTGGTATTTTCAGTGCTGAGCCAATGGGAAGCTTGAAACGCCTCTGCGGAATTACATATTTGCTGAAACCAGAAAAGAAGCTTGTGGCATAGTTGGAAATTAGAAGCAGGAGACAGCAGAGGGACCAGGCCCCTCTGCCCCCCTGGTTGGGCTGCGGGGGGCCTGGCATGGTGTTAAAACCGGACTAGGTGCTGTGGCCAAGGAATGGGGGGGGGTTTCCCCACTCACAGTGGGGGTGGCAGCGAAGGCAGCACAGAGCAGCGAGCTGCAGCCAGAGCCGAGACTGGGCTCCTGGACAAAAATTGTGAAGCAGAGATCAGAAGAGTTCCAGAGAGCGAGAGAAAAATAAGCTGCCTGGTGAGCAGCAAAGCATGGCATGGATCCAGACCCTGAGTCTGCAGGAGCAACCAAAGCAGCAACGAGCCGGAGCAGAAAGAGAAGCCTGCTGGAAAAGTTCTGGGGTAGGAACTAAGACAAAAACCCCAGAACCCTTTTTGACCCGGGGAGGGGTGGATCCTGCTTAGGGGACCCCCGAAACTCCTCGTGGAAGGAATCTCCATGGAGCAGAGAATAAAGACTTTAAACTTTAACTCCCTGTATTCCGTGGTGACGACATGGTGACACGAGTGTTCCCTCAAAGCCCATGGGTGAGCCCTTGATAGCGTAGCCGAGTGGTGAGAGGTGGGGGTAGACCCCCCTGCATTCCAATGAAGAGAGAGAGAAGATTTTCTAACTACTGCAAATTGGAACTGTGGCCTTGAGAGTAGAGACTTCTTCTCCTCCTGGACTTTATGGGGGGAGGAAGGGGTGATGTTTGTAAATACATTGTTTTATCATCATAGGAGAATTAGTTAAGATTGTTGTATATATTACTTTATAGTTTTTATTTTGTTAGTAATAAATTTTGATATTATTTCCCCATGCTGAGTTTGTTTGCCTGTGTGAAACTTCTCTCAACCTTTGAGCAAATTTGTGGGGGTTTGAAAAATTGGCTTTGGGTCTCAAACCACGTCAGAAAGGACAACAGTGGACTGAAATTACCATGTTGCCGTAGCTGTCAATATACACCTCCAATGAGATAATAAATATACAGCACATTTCTAATCAGTGTCTATAATTTTTCTTCAGGGCTTTTCTTTTTCAAAAATTTGTTTTTCAAAATGAAGCCTTTTAAAAGTAGAAAACATTTCTATAAATTTGGCACTAAAATTATTTTTAAAAACCTATATTAATCACACTGGTATTAGGTATCAGCATATGCACTAATATGATTATTAGAAAACCTGAATCCAAAAATGTACCTGGAAGTCTTGTAATTTGTGAACCTTAATAAATACATAATGGAAATTATATTCCATGCAAGTCTTTTTCAAATAGCTAAAAGAAAAGTGATGTTTACTTGGGAAGTAAGTGTTGTATTGCTAGATGCTCAAGGCCAAGCACAGGATTTCAATGGAGTAAAATGCATATTAGAGGAACAGATTATCTATTACCACTGAGATGAATGTATTAGGGAGGGGTTCAGAACATACTGAAATCTGAAACCAAGACACCATTGAAAGCTCAATAAAACTGATATTTATTACAAAGTGGCTGAAGTAAATGGGAACCTGAGAGAAAGAGAAACCAATGAGGAAATATGACACCCTACTCACTCAGGTGTCATTCATGGGGTTATCTTACCAATTCCAAATGCCATAAAATCCTCTGCAGCAACTGCATTTTTCAGAGGGTTAGCAGGCTCACACGTAGCAGGCGTCCCCGCTAAAGACAACTTGGTCCTTCGTGTGGAGCAAGCCTCCTCCAAAAAGCCGACTGTCTGCTTTTATACAATCAACTGAGTACATCTGCCTAGGCAGGTGTGGCCAGTACCGCCCCGCCAGAGGCTCTCAGTCCCACCTCCTTGGTTATGCAAGTGCATCCCTTCAGTGCATGCATGAGAACTTTGGAATTCCCCTTCCACATGCGCAGTATGCTTCAGGGGTCTTCCCTAATTGAGTCGGAGATTGTTACTTCCTCCCCTCTTCTTCGGTTTCTCCTTCAAATGTCCTTGGCAGATGATGAACCAATTACAGAACACCAATTAATATAGTTTATACAAGAAGCTCTCTCTCCAAGGACAAAGCTACCGTTTTATCAGTGAATTTGGCAGGGAAAATATAAACTCATACAGGTGACTGGGGCCAAACACAGACCAAAAGTATCAACATCCCTGATACAGATGAAGAAAATTAATCCAGTCTTGGTAGGATTGTTACAGCTGACAGAATTCATAACTACATTTTCCAGAGAAGATTTTAATTTAATTTACTGAATGGTAAAACATGACATTTTTTTAATCTATAAGAATTGATGAATGGACACAAAATAGATTGAGATGGTGTAAAGAACTGATGGAAGCAGTACATGCTTCATCATTGCCTTCTGTTTGTTTTTGTTCCAAATGCGAAAAGCAAATTGTTTTGACTGTTACAGTGGCACCTGCATGCCGTGCATGTTAAACGTGCTGTTGTTATGTAGTTACCACCTGCCGTAAGGCAGGACATCTCTGACTCTATATAAGCAAGTGCCTATGACATGCCCAGGGGAAGAGATCGAAGAGATGCCTTAGGATTGGGCACGCCGCATGGAAGATTGAAGGCGGGAACCCTGCCCCCCCTCCACGAACCACAGGGACGTACTGCAGTCCCCACAGTCACTGAGTGGCTGCAGGACTTCCCCACAGTCACAGAGCAGGGATTCCCCCACATTCAAGAGAACCGGGGCCGCACTGCGCAGACTAAGGCGGGAAACCCTGCCCTGACACACACGGCCGGCACATACCATGGGCACACACACTGCTGCCCACACACAAACTGTGCTCCGAAACTGCCCACTCAGCACTGCGACCAGCCTGGCCAGACCCAGGACGCACCATGGAGTCGACACACTCTGTGAGAACTCCACTCATGTTGCAGAGACAAAAGACCAGAGAACAACCAGATTCCCCCCCCTTCCCCATCACCAAGGACGAGATCCAGTGCAGAGTTCATGGTGGTGGTAAACTCTTTTCTCCGCTTCTTGTAATTACTCTTAGTTTTTCCCACTTTTCTCTATTTTTCCTTCTTTCTCTCTCTGCCTCTCTTATAGTTAATAAAGTTGAATTATCATTCTGGATACCAACATTTGACCTCATTTGTGTCTTAATCTCACTTTCGGGTATATTCAGACTTAAATTCCTTCACGCATTTATGGATAGAGGCACACTTTACCTCTCTGTACCTAAGCAGATTGGAACAGATGGGGGTGCCGTGCTCGTGCAATTTCTGCAGTGATCAAAGAACTATTTGCTTTGGAAAAACTCAGCTAGTGATACAATGCTAGACCCCATAATGTCAATAAATAAGCTCAGAAATTTGCTATAAAACATTTATGTCCATTACACCGTTCGACCTTCCCAGCAGCTGCTGCATGGTATGGGATGACCCCAGTCAATGCCATGCTCTTTTGCCCAGGTGGTAACTAAACTGTTCTTGAAATGGGTCCCATTATCTGACTCAATTCTCTCTGGGGTACCATGTTGCCACTTGCTTTTCAAGGCCCAAGATGGTATTTCAGGCAGTGGCATGAGGCACCAGACACGTTTTCAGCCATCCGGTGGTTACTTCCACCATGGTGAGCACATAGAGCTTACCTTTGAGGGTCTGTGGCAGTGTGATATAAACAACCTGCCAAGCATCTGCATACCTATACTTACTCCAATGTCCACCATACCACAGGGGTTTCAGTCTCTTTGCCTGTTTAATGGCAGTGCATGTCTCACAGTAGTGAATAACCTGGGAGATAGTGTTCATGG